TATGACAAATTCAGGGGGTCAAAATCCAGAGGGTCATCATCAGAGCATATGATAAATCCAGGATGGCCGCAGCGGGGCAGCCGCGCAAACGCGAGATGTCTCGGGCCCACGCTAACTCCAGATAACCGGAGATGGCCGCTTGAAGCTCGCCCGTTCGCATCGCGGCCGCGGAGTCGAAGGCGCCGGAATGGCAGCCCGAGCGCTCCCAAATCTCAAAGAGCACCGCGACCGTGAATTTTGTTTTGGACTCGCTGGCACGGGTTTCAAGGCCCCTTGGGGGCGCGATGGGAGGTGAGCCTCGGGAACGTGAAAGCGCTATTCGGAATGGCGCCGCGATCCAAGGGGGCGCTGCGGACTGCCGGCTCAGTCGCATTCGACGTCTGGCCCGTGCCTGGAAGGCCAGCCAACGCGCCGTCTCTCTGAAGGACAGCATCGGGGCCGACGGGTCCCAGTTTGCAGACCCCAACACCTGCGCCCGCATGCTCGGCGAACATTATGGAGGAGTTTCTTCTCGCGGAGATGAAGTTCCAGGATTGGGTTGCGAAATCTCAGAAGAATTCCCCCTCTTGCCCGCGACCTCCACCAGTTCGCCGAGAGGGTTCACCAGAGGTTCCCTTGGGCCCTCGCGCGAGGCCAGTTTCTCTGACCCTCCCTCCCCCAGGAAAAAGGAATGGGGAGATAAGGAGGGGAAACAAAACAGGAAACAGAACAATCCAGAAAATTACACTTGAGACAACCCCAATCAGTGGATGATTTGAAAATTCATATTATGGGTCTAGAGATCGATTGTCAGATCGAAGATGAGATCGATAGTGGAATCGATAGTGAGGACGATTGTAAGGTCGATCGTGAGACCGAGAGTGACATCGATTCATTGAGATCGATAGTGAGATCGATCGCGAGATCGCTCATGCGATCTGTAGTGAGATCGCTTGTGAGATTGATAACTAGTGAGATCGATTGTGAGATCGATGGTGAGATCGATCGAGAAGTCGGTAATGCGATCGATGGTGAGACCGATCGGTAAGAAGATCGACCAGGAACCCGGGAAACCGGGAACCTCGCCGCCCTCCGAAATCGGCCCCGAACCTTGACCCAGGAACCCGGGAACCTGGAACCGGGAACCCGGGGACCGGGGAACCCAGCCTGCCACCAAAATCGGCAGGGAATTTTCGCCAAATCCTTGAATTTCCGCTAGGACCCTTCAGTGCAAGCACTGATTGGGGAACAAACAAACGTCTGCCCCAGGGCCCGACGGCTTGCGCTACAGCGCCTGGAGGGCAGCCGGGCCCATGGCACAAGAAACACTTCTCGATGTCTACCTGCGCCTGCTAGAGGGCAACCCTTGTCTGTGGATTTCAAGGCGGTGAAAATCGCCATACTGCCGTAAGGCGCCATCGTCGATCTAGATCAGGTCTTCAGAACAGTCGAGGACACGCGTCGGATCGCGTTATCCAATGCCTACGAAAATCGGATCAGTCCTACGGCAGCCTGCCCGATCGCCGAGGTTGCCCGAGATCGCTTCCGCAGCTACCAAAGGGGTTCACCAATTATCGCCAGATCACCGATAACATTTCTCGAGGTAAACTTTATGTTTTTCTATTCGTACTCTTTTCAAGGGCGCTCTCGGGCGGGCGTTTGGTTCTTTGACTTTCGCGCTGCGTTTCCTTCTTGTCGCCGCTCGCGAATGTTTCAAGTGCTGGCTGCCTGCAGCCTTTTCCATTTCATGATCACCGTCGTCTCTCTGCTCTACTCGAACGTGATTTGTGCGATCGCATTCCGCGGCGCCGATTCAGTTTCTTTCGATGCCCGGCGCGGGGCCCATCAAGGCTGCCCCCGCGCTGGCGCGCTCTTCGCTTGTGATCTCGACCCGCTCCGTCGGTTTCTCTGCAGTGCCCGGACCCCCCTGCCCAGGCAGATCGCAGCTGTCGCCGACATCTATGCCACTTTGCCCAAGGTCACTCGCCATCCTTCGGGCGTCGGCGCCGGTTCGGAGCGCACCTTGAATGCGAAAAAGTGCGCGATTGTCACGGTGCCCCCCGGGGCTCTTCAAGGCGCTTTCGGGCGTTTTCTAGAAGCCCGGGCTCGAGCAGGTGATTTCGCAGATGAATGCAATGTGCAACATCTCGGGTTCATCATTGGCAAGAATGCCCCCGGGCTCTCCCGGGCGCCCGTGGCCCCCAAGATCGCCCAGAGAAGCCTCCTGGCTGAAAAGATGGGCATCGGTTCCACTGAGTATTGTTGTTCCAGTCTGCTTTCTCTCGTGCTGGATATTGCCCGGGGCTTCTGGCCCTCCCCCGCCGTTCTCCGCGCCGAAAGAAAAGCTCTGAAAGCGCGCGCACTCGCGCCCCCCGGGAGCTCGTTCCCGCCCGCGCTTTTCCCCGGACTGAAAGAGGCGCGTCTCTCGGTCCAGGCGGGAGATCTTCGGTTTCGCGGTCGCGCCGCCCGTCTTCGCGCCGCCTGCGTGTCTGAGCAGTTCCCCGTGCTCGTCGACCGGTCGGAGAGCGCGCTTGCAGGCGCTGATGTTGGGATTGCCTATCGGCACCCCCCTTTTCTCCAAGGACTCCCCGTTCGCCCGCGCCCCCTGGGATTTCCAGGGGCCCCGGCGCGCCGCTGGGCCCCCCGGGGATCTCAGCCAGGAAACGTTCGGGCTTCAAGCGCGGCTGAGGTAGCCACTGTCTCCTTGCCTCGCGGCTTCCCCGCAGCCTCGGCGAGGTCATTTGGGTTCCGCGCCCGCTGCCACATCCCCGCAATCAGCCTCGCAGCCTTTTGCGCGCCAGGTCGCGCGATGCGAGGCCCGGCGCTGCCAAATGCACAAATGTTGCAGCATGCTCAGCTCGGGCGGCCAGACTTAGCGGCAGGGTCCATCCGCGCCTTGAGCGTATGGCTTATGGAGCACTGTGCGCGCACATGTTTCCGGCTTCCCCTCCCTCCTTCCTTCCTACCTTTTGCTGCGTTGATCGGACATAAGCTGTGCAGTTATTGCGTTTTTGTGTTGGAAACATTGAAAGCACATGCGTGATCACGAACGATGGTGCAAACAGCTCGTGGACCACACGAGCGAGAAGGGTCGCGAGAGGCGAAAAGTGGAGAAGCCCACAAGGGCACAGAGGAACGCACACCGTCAAAGTGTCCCAACGCCCCCACCGCCCCTCCTCTTGAAGTCCTGCTCATTATGCATAACTTCTCCCTGTCGCACCCCGTGGCGAGTCGGCAGGGCGGGCTGGGTGTTTCGCATGATATGTCCTCACCACGTAAGGTGTGCAAAAAACAATTGCACGGATGGACGACGGGCCGCTTTCAAAATGTGGTTCTCGCCTAAACGCATCGCACAACCGTTTAAATAACAGCTAGAGCTTCGCGGATGGAGGGCGGCTCTTTTTCAAAATCTGATTCTCGCCTCAGCGCCGCGCGCATTCGTTGTAGACAATTCCTATAGCTTCACGGATGGATGGCTGTTCTTTTTCAGAATGTGGTTTTCGTTTTAGCGCTGCGCAGATTCGTGTCGAAGAGCTTACAGCAGTTTCAAGCATTCTCATGGCTGATGCCCGTAAAATGAGTTTGGGCACAGTGCGGGTTTTGTCAGGGCGCAACAGATATGTTGACTCGCGCTGTCGAAGTCCCAACTATTGTTTTGGCGCGATTGAGGATCGTCAACACGCGACAGCAACGGTGATTCGCATCGTTGAAGTCCCAACGAAGGTGTTTTGGCGCAGTTGAGGATTTTCAGACATTTGTCTTCCAACGGGGGTCTTTTTTCAGTGAGGAGAATCATCGTAGGGGCCTGTAGAAAGAGAACCAGGAGGGAGGGTTCATTGCAAGATTGTTGATGGGCGTTGGGTTTGCACTGGTCCTCCTCCTTCTCCTCCTCCTCCGCCTCCCTTTCTCTCTCTCTCTCTCTTTCAGTCTCCGTGGCCACTTTGGCTTAAGCTGGGTGACCTCGAAGACCCTCGGTCGCCCCCTCGGCCCCGCCTGGGCGGCCGCGGCTCCCTGGCGCGGATGGCCGCCTCGCGCTACTGGCCGAACCCCTTCGCCGAGGCGGGCGCCGACCCTCCCGCGTTCACCGCGGAGGCCTGTTGGGACGGCGTGGCGGCGATCCTGCCGCAGCTGGCCGAGTGCGTGAGGCGCGGCAGGCCGTGGGCGGGAAGCACATCTCCAGATCCGAGGCCTCGCGGGCTGGAGCGCCTCTGGGCCGCGGCCCCGTGGAGACGGGGCGCTTTCTCGCGGATGCCCCGTGCGGAGCGGATCCGTGCGACCGTTTCTCTGCGGGATCGCGTTCCGGAGTCCAGGCCGCGAGGGCGCGGATACGGATATGTTCGCCGCTCGTGAGCAGGGTGCCGGAGAGTTCGGGTGGCTGGACGAGGGACTACAGCTCGGGGGTTGCCAAAGGCGGCTCTGGCCCACGGGCGTCCCCAGCCCTTTCCCCAGGGAAGGCCCCGATGGCCTCCTGAGCATCCTTGACGCGGCCCAGAGGGCCCCAGGGCCCCAAAGTGGCGCGAGAAGCTCTTTGGGCCAGGGCCACCATTAGCAGCACCCGGCGCAGCGTGTACACGGGCCTGGGCGGCGTCGCGCTCACGCTCCTGCGCGCCGGGCTTCACTGCAGAGGCTCGCGGGGCGACGTCGCCACCGCGGACGACCTGCTGCGCCAGGCCCAGGGCGCCGCGGAGGCATGCCTCGCCGCGGAGCCGCGGTCACGGGAGGTGTCGTTCTTCTGCGGCACGCCTGGCCACCTGGCCATCCTCTGCGCCGCGGCCGCGGCGCTGGGGGCGCCCGCCGAAGCGGAGAGGCATGCGCGGGCGCTGCTCGAGTGGGCGCCGGCGGCGTTCGAGCACCGGGAGGACGAGCTGCTGTTCGGCCGCGCGGGCTACATTTACGCGCTGCTCTTTGTGCAGAGGCACGGCGGCACGGGGCTGGACTTCGGCCCCTCGCTCAGCCAGACCGCGGAGCGCGTGGTCGCCTTGGGCGAGGCGCGCGCCAAGCGCCATTACCCAGACTGGCCCATGATGTGGCACTGCTTCGACGAGCCGTACGTTGGCGCGGCGCATGGCATCGTCGGGATCCTCAAGATGCTGCTGGATTGCCACAGCCTGCTGGCGCCCCGGAGCCAGCAGCTCGTCGTCGACACCCTCGGCAGGTTGCTGCGCTCACGCTTCGCCAGCGGCAACCTGCCCATCATCCTCGGGGAACGGTCGGACGAGCACGTGCACTGGTGCCACGGCGCGCCCGGCATCCCAGCGCTCGCCCTGGCGGCCGAGCGCGCGCTGGGGGACCCCGACGGGCAGCTGCGGGACGCGGCGCTGCGGGCGGCGGAGGTGGTTTGGAGGCGTGATCCCAGACGTGCAGTGTCTTGCGTGTTTCAACGCGGGGCCCCCAGGAGTCCCGACCCTCTCCCTGGAGCCAGTCGGTTTCCGTCGCGAGTCTTTTTCGACGGTACCGGGGCCCAGCGAGGGCCCCCAGAGGCTGAAAACAGCCAAGTGCATCCCGTCCTGATGCTTGAAACGTTAGGTGCTCGATCACCCTTGTTGACTGCAGCCCTCCAGCTTTCGCGCCGAAGACCGCAGGAAACCTCCGAAGACCATTGGAAACCGCCGAAGACCACCGAAGACCGCCGAAGACCGTCAGAAGACCGCCGAAGACGGTCCAAGGCCAATGGGTAACTAACAAAGGATCCATGGTCGAGCACGTAGAGCAACGCGACCATGCCTGGAGGCGCGGGGCCATCCTGAAGGGGAACGGGCTGTGCCACGGCGTCGCCGGCAACGGGTACGCCTTCCTTTCCTTCTTTTCAGTGGCGGCCTCACCGACCCCTAGCAGACCATCCCCTTCCGTGACGTTCCCCTCGCCTCGCCCAAAGGCGTATGTTTGCGGCCGGAGGGAAGCCTGAGAGGCGAGGGGGCCGTCACGGAAGGGGATGGTGTTCCCAGACCCCCGACGTCGTGATGTCTTCGCAGCGTCGACCCCCAGAGGTCTGGACCCTTTCCCCAGGGCCGGTGTTCCAACCCGAGTCGTTTCTTGACGGCCCCGAGGCCCGGCGAGGGCCCACCTGGAGGCTGAGAAGACCCGAAAACTTCCCGTCGTGATTTTCTCAGGACGCGAGGGGCATTGTTTGCCAGGGGTGATGTTGCTCCCATCGTACTTCAGGACCACATCCCAGGAACAATTTCGAGCACCCAGGAAAGTATCGACACAGTGTCGAACGAGCATCGCCTCCCGGGGCGGGACGCGCGAAAACCCTCCAGCCTCGGTGCTTCCTTGATGCTCGAAGTTCTTTCTGGTGGTCAAGGCTGAAGTAGGCCGGAACATCACGAGCCAGGGGTCGGTCCGGCCGCGCCCGAGGTACGCCTTCCTTTCCCTCTTCGCCGCCACCGGGCAGGAGCTGCACCGCTGGCGCGCGGAGGCGTTCGTGGCGCTCCTGCGCCACGCCCCGCTCCAGGAGCCGAGGGAGGACAAGATCAAGCAGTGGCGAAGCGGCGTCCTGGCTCCCCTTATAGGCCCACTGAAGGATGTTCCAATAACCTTTTGTGGTTTGCGCAACATGTTTTTTAGAGCATTTCTGGCTGAGTCTGTTTCGTTTTAACACATCGGATTGATGTTCTAAGGAACTTGTTTTTGCTATTAGAACATTTCTGGGTTCTAAGAAAATTCCGTGGTAGGCCTAGACGGTCGGTCCCTGCTCAACAAGAGGCAAAATCGGCGGCGAACCCTCGTAGGGCCCTTGAGGTTACTGAGTCGATTTTTGGTAGTACGTTGGATGTCTGGGGATTTCGCGCGTCGCCCGAAAAACGTTTACACCTCTCGACTTGCGCGGGTCATCCCTAATCTTCTGTGCATCGTTCCGGTTAGAACGGGTGATCCCCGAATGGAATCATGGATCGGCGGCCAGCCCGGGGGGAAGTGAGAAGGGGCGGGCCTTCTCAGAAGGCTCGGATGTCCACCAGCCTGTTGAGAAGTGATGGTTAAGCCTTCCCCAGAGACAGAACACTTTTCAGAAGGCCGGAGGGGTTCTGAGATGCTGAGAGGCCCCGCCGCCTTCTGAGAAGGCCTTCTCCTTCTCATTTCCCCCCCTCGCTCGCCGCCGACATAAACAGAACTTTCGAAGCTCCGCGCGGATTTCTTGGATCGGTGCTGGGCGGGTGGAGGAGAAATATTGTCCTATTTCACGACGTGCGTGCGTTGTCTGGGACAGTAGCGATGCAAATGATGACTTTTATGATGACGGCGATGTTTGTTATGATGGCAACATCTGCCCGCAGTCGTTGGAGTAACCAGGGCAAGTGAAGTAATATGCTGGATCTGTGCTCTGGTCAGTTCTAATTTGGTTTCAACTAGATTTCGAAAATAGCACAATTAACATCACCTGGATATGTGATCTGCTCACGTGTAATTGATTTATAGTGGAACCTCAATTGGAATACAATTGAATAAGCTGTATGTGGGATTTGTTCAATTCTGTATAGGATATAAGTATATTCCACTCGGAATGTAATTGGAACCCGCTGGACCCGTGATCTGCTCAAGTCTAATTCGATTTCCAGTAGGGCCAGTAGGAATCCAAGTGGAATCAGCTGGATCTGGGATCTGCTCAATTCATCGGAATCGAATTGGAATCAGCTGGATCTGGACTCCTGGTAATCTTTAAGGAAGTAGTAATTCGTCGTCAATGTATACACATTCTGTTCTACTGATATTTTTATGTACATGTACAAAGGCAAAGTTTTAATCAGCAGGATCTGTGATCTGCTCAGTCCTAATTTATTTCGCACTACATGTTAATAGGAACCAAATTGGAATCAGCTGGATCTGGGAGATAGTCAATGCGAGTTAGAGTGTAAGTCGATCGGACGGTAAATCTAATCGGAATCAGCTGGATCTCTGACCTGCTCAACTTTAGCTCAGTAGCAAATCATTAGATTCCATTCGGACTGCGATTTGAAAAAGCTCGGTATGTGATCTGCTCAATGTTGTTTTGATTTTAATTCGATTCCAATGGGAGTTCAAGTAGCACCAGCTGGACATGTCACCTGATCGTGTACAATTACGTTATAAGGTGATTCCGATTGGAACCCAAATTCAATGAGCTGGATTTGGGTTCTGCCCAATTCTATTGAGATTTAACTTCGATTTACAGTCGAGCCCACTAAGAATCCAAGGACAGAAAATCAGCTGTATCTGTGATTTGCTCAATTTACATGTATCTACATATATAAGTATTACATTGGACTTCTAATCACATTCTATTATGAGCCATTTGGAGTCAGCTGGATCCGGGATCTGCTCAACTTTAGCTAGTTGGAGTCTCATGATATTCCATTATGATCGCAATTAGAATTAGCTCGGTATGTGATCTGCTCGTTGTTGATTTGATTTTAATTCAATTCCACTGAGAGTTCAAGTAGCACCTGATCGTGTACAATTGCGTTCTAAGGTGATTCCGATTGGAACCCAAATTCAATGAGCTGGATCGGGAATCTGCCCAATTCTAATGAGATTTAAGTTCGATTTACAGTCGAGCCCACTAAGAATCCAAGGACAGAAAACCGGCTGTATCTGTGACCCCTCAATCCGAATATTTATGTACTCTGAACTCTAATCACACTCTAATATGAACAATCTGGAGTCAGCTGGATCTGGGATTTGCTCAAGTCTAACCAGAACATCATAATCCCAGTAGGAACCCACTTCGGATCAGCTGGATCTGGGATCTGCTGAATTCCAATTTGATTTCAAAACAGATCCCAGTAGATAGGTAGTTGGAACCAGCTGGGTCTATGGTCTGCTCAAGGGTAATTAAGTTGTAGTTAGATCCCAATAGGACCGCACTTGGAATTGGAAGTAGCTGGATATGGGATCTACCCAAGTCTTATTAAAACGTAATCAGATTCCAAAGCGAATCCAAGCGTAATCCGCCGGACCTGTGCTATGCTCAATTCGAATTAGATTTCTATTCAACCCAATAGGGTTTCAAATGGCGTCAGCTGGATCTGGGCATCTGCGCAATTCTAATGTGATTTTTCTTCATCCTACTACTGATAGTTGCATCAGCCGGACCTGGAATATTTCAAGTATGTTTAGATTTTTGGTGATCTTACAATCGCAATTCAAGCAGAATCCGCTGGATCTGGGATCTGTTCAAGTCTCATTAAGTGTTAAGTAGGCCGCAAGAAGCACGCAATTCAATTCATTTGGATCTGTCATGTGCTGAATCTGGATTCGGTTATACTTCAATTCTAACACTTAACAAATTGGAACAAGGTGGATCTGGGATCTGCTCAATACCACCTCCCCCCTCCAGGGGGGCGCGGGGGATCAGACACCAACAAACTCATCGATCCCAATCAAGCCACAAGGACAAGTAATTATTAAAATCCGAACCCCTAGGCGACACAATCAACGAAATTTAAGCCCCGATTCGATGTTGGCCGAAAAACAAAGAAAACCTATGTGTTTCCCATGTTCCCGTCTGAAAAAATATCGGGGGTTGATTTCATTTATTTGTTTTTCTGCTTTTCCAAGTGTTTTGGCTGATTGTCATGTTTTTGTTGGTCTTCGCCGCCCCCAGCGCCGCCTTCGCCTCCCCCAAACAGGGGAGCGCGTGGGGCCAGAAACCAGCAGAAGCGGGAAAATCAATCAAACGATAAGGAATACAGGAATACCAGAGCCACCAGGCAAAACAGGAATATCAGAGCCCCCAGGCAAAACAACCAACGGAATCTAAACCCCGATTTGGTTTTGACAATCTACGGTTTTTCAATATTCCCCGTCCGAAAACCAATCGGGGCTTGATTGCAATGTTTTTGTTTGCCTGAGGGCTCTGACTTTCCTGTTTTTCTGAGTGTGTTGATTGAGTGTCTTGATTTTATTGGTTTTCAGCACCCTCGCCCCCCCCCCCAGCGCCGCCTCCGCCTCCCCTCCCCAGTAGGACGCCCCAGCTGGGCGCGGGGGGCCAGGAACCAACACCAACAGGAAAATCATCAAAGTCAAACGAAAACCAGGAACCATTCAGCGCCTGGACAAAAACAACAACAACAAAACCAACGCCCCGACGTGTTTCCCCCCCCGAACAAATACGGAGAAAGAGAGAAAGAGAGAGAGAGAGAGTGTGAGAAGGAGAGAAAGAGAGCGAGAGAGAGAGAGATATCGAGCGTTTGAGAGAGAAAGAGAGATGCACGGTAGTTTAGAAAACCAAGGAGCATGTTCAAGTAAAGGGAATTCGAGAAAACCCCGTCGTAAAATGGGACCACCTTTCGGCCTTACCGCCCCGGCGGCGCCTCCAGCGCCGCCCAGCGCAGATCCAAGAATCTGCGCGGATCGTCGAACGCTTATTCCCCAAGGAGTGCTTGCACTTGCACCTAGGGGTTCTTGCATCTTTTCTGAGGAACTGGGCCTGCGTGGCGGTCTGGCGGCTCCGTACTCGCCGTCGCCGCTCCGTCGCTGCACCGTCGCCGCCTCGTCGCCGCCCGTCGTCTGGGTCTGGGTGGCGGTCTGGCGTTTCTGTGCTCGCCGTCGCCGCCCCATCGCCGCCTCGTCGCCGCCTCGTCACCGCCCGCCGTGTTGGCCTGGATGGCGGTCTGGCGACCCCGTGTTCGCTGTCGCCGCCTCGTCGCCGCCCATTATAAAAGAATCGCATAGGTCATAGATTCTCTTTTCTAAAAAAGAATGAGGATCTACCGACCCCCCGAGGCCGGGGTTATCGGTCCCCCTTGGGATGTGCAATTAGCATACGATTCTGCCCCATCGTTCGTTCTTACTATGAATTCGTAGCGCCCCAGCCAAACCAGCAATCATCCCGCTCACCCTTTGCAAATAGAATTGTGCGCGCACATTCGTTTATCTAAAATCAGCAGTAACTATTCAATAATCCCTTGCAACAGAAGGAAACAAAGTCCACGCGCGCGCGTCGTTGCGCGCGCATGCCGGAATTGTTCAAACACCATCGGTTTCGCATGGTTTTCAACATCGAGTGCCCCGAATCTGATCAACAACCAGAGGCTTTGCAACATGAGTTGTTTGAAGAGGTCTGCGCTTTTGCTCTCGCTGTTTTTTAGGCAACCATCGGTTTTTAATCATTCGGTCTCTCGCGAGCGCATGTCGAATCATTCGAACGCCTTTGCGCACGTGCTGTGGTGGTGTGGGGGGCGCGACCCCTGTCAAATGATACAACGCGGGTCACTCGCACCCGTCGGTCGCGCGCGCATGTCGAAATCCTTCCCATACCTTGATCACCGACCCGCGTGGACACCATCATCGTCATCGCCGTGATCAGCATCGGCGCTGTCATTAATTTGCCTTGCCGTCGTCATCGTCATCCTGGCCAGCTGCATTGTTATCATCGTGTCTACCATTGTCGACGTCGCCATGATACCGCGCCCTCCCGAGTCACCGATTCGCACTGACGCGCCCGCGCGTCAGTGCGGCCTGCGAGACGCGTTGGGAAGTCACGAGCGGTCAGCGTCACCTCGACCATGTCGGTCGCGCCAGACTAGCTCACCGGGTTTCGCGCGAGCCTGCCCGCGCTAGCGCGGTCTAAGCGATGCGCCAGCCAACGCCAAGCAGTCATCGCAATCGCCTCCACATGGGTTTTGCAAACCAAGTTACGGGTGAGTGGGTGGGATGATTGCGCGAGCAGTGGAGTTGACAATTTCAAGTTCGGCCGGAGATTTGCACCACTTAGACAGCACCAAATAGATTGCACAACAAGGATTGCGCCGCTTAGATTGTACAACATAGTCTGCTAGAAACATTGTTTGGGGCCCAAGCTGGCCAGCATTTGTATGTTTATTTGGTTCTTCTCAGGAGGCCATGTGCCGCCAGCCCGACCCGCAGCGCAGGGTGCCCGGATGCCCAGACTCCCCGGCCAGCCTCATGGAGGGCGCGGCCGGGGTCGCGTGTTTCCTGTTGGACGCCATCGCGCCAGAGGGGGCGGCCTTCCCTGGCTGGGAGTGAGGCGCGCGCGCGGGGGCGCGGCGGGCGCGGGGGCCTCGGCGTAGCCAGAGCGGCGCCCCGGCAACACAGACACAGAGCCTTCTCGGGCGAAGGAGGGATGCCAGTCACAGCGGGGACATCGTGCGCGTCTTTGCGGGTACTTTCGCGGGGCATCCTGCACACCCGCATTCCACGAATTCGCAGATGCTGCGTGCTCAGGTGGTGGTAGTGGCAATCAGTTGTCCTACCCTTATTCTTCTCCTCTTTCCCCTGCTCGTCGGTCTGCTCCCCGCTGGCCTCCTTCTGGAATGGTAGGGGAAAGGGGCGGGGGGGTGGTAAGGCTGGATCGATGGTCTCAACCAGGATCTTCCGTAACCCGTTTAGCCTGTTCAGAGCTGTCTCGGCTCAAACTTTGGAGCGGATTCCACTCTGTAGGGGGGGGGGGTCGACCTCCCTCTCAGCTACCATGCAGTACTTTTCCGAAAACTCGCCTGCGCAAGCGCAGCTCCGAAGAGAGAGGGGGTCGCCCGCGTGCGACCAAGGATCGGGCCGCACGTCCGGGCAATATTCATATCCATATCTGCTGCGTCTGGGACTGTTTGGGGAAGGGGCGCCACATGACCGACGTGCAGTGGCCATGGGTAACCATTTAGTTTCTAGGGGGCAACTTACACACATGTCTGTCTGTCTGTCTGTCTGCCTGCCTGCCTGCCTGCCTGCCTGCCTGCCTGCCTGCCTGTCTGTCTGTCTGTCTGTATGCATGCATGCATGCATGCATGTATGTATGTATGTATGTATGGATGTATGTATGTATGTATGTATGTATGCATGCATTTGTTCATGTATGTATGTATGTATGTATGTATGTATGTATGTATGTATGTATGCATGCATGCATGCATGCATGCATGCACATATATATATATATATATATATATATATATATATATATGTGTGTGTATGCTCGCAGCGCTTCTGGATTCTGGGGAAAGGAACCCGAAACTCCAACACGCAGTGCAAGTCTTGCCCGCAGCACGGGCAGCGGGTGGAGCACGCACGCCGATCTGGCAGCTGCAGCGCGGAAAAGCAGGCAACCAGGGCCAGCTCGAAAGGGCAGTGGGTCTTTGATCCCGAACGCCCAGCGCCGGGCCACAAAAGCAGGGCCACCCGAAACGTCAGCAAAAAGGGGTCCGTAGCCATGTTGGGTCAAGCCATTTCGGCTCAAGTAGTACATCTCTCGAGCCAGCTGGGCAGGAACAGCAAGCAGTTCAGACTGCTGCTCCGCAGTGCGCCTGCCACAAACCAGGGGTCAGCTGCTTTCGACCTTTTTGCAGCCACCTCTTCCTCCCGCTCCTGCACTGCTGCCATGGCGTCCCACGGTCGCGCTCGTTTGGCTGCGAGCCCCCACCGTGCCCGCTGGGACTCTCGCTAGAGCTTCCACAGCAGCCGCAGTGCCTCCGCGACTCGCAGTTCTCGTCGGCAAAGGCCTATTACTCTCACCTCGGATGATAAGATTGACCAGCTGCAGAAGTCCTTCCAGGGTTTTGGGCAGCAGCTCGCTGTTTGCAGCTGTTTGCATTCCAGGCGGAGGCGACGCAGCAACGGTGCGACGTGGTCACCACCCAGATTGGCAACCTCATGGCTCCTTGAAGACTAAGCAGCAGCTGCTGCTGCCGCTGCTTGAACTGACATGAACGACCGCTTCGCCGACTTCAAGAATGAAGTCAACTGCCGCATCTCCAACGCCCCACCCTCGAACGCCACGCCTACGCACGCGATGGATGCAGACGACGCCGACAACCTGCACAACATCCTTCCGGAGAGGGTCAAGGCGATTGAAGAGAAGCTCGAAATACAGTCGGCACCTTCCTCTTCGGCTGGCTCTCGTTCCTCTGTTGCCCCACGCTTGGAAAACGCTCAAGACAACATTTGCAAGCTCATATGCTTGGCTGGCTTGCGCAGGATGCCCCAGTCTACGCTCCGCAACATCGGCGAGGCCATCCTCCGGAGGTTCGCCCCGATGTAGCACCGCAAGCCCATTGGTATCAAGGCCTTGGACATGGCCAAGAGGATCAAGCTCGAGTTTGAGGTGCCAGAGGGCGCTTCCAGCTTCGTGGCGAATGCCACGCAGCACGGCACGTTTGTGATCGAGGGCCCGCCCGTGCTGGCTATTCCTCAGCGGAAGGATCAAGCGAGACCAGGACACCAGTTGCCACTAACTCGTTCTCTCAATAGGTCGGCGTGCACCTGCATGGCGCGCGTCCTCCGGGATAAGAATATCCCCGTCGGCAGCAACGGGCTCGGCGGCCTGGCATGTGCTTCGCGTGCTCCTGAGGACCCAGCTCCGCTTGTACAGCTCAAGTGTGCTGAAGGATTTCTGCCAGGGACACCTCCAGCAGATTCGCGATGTAGCCGCAGTGCAAGTCCGATGGCCCTTTAAACGATGAGTATGATCGATGAGAGCCGCCGCTGTGTCCAGGCTGTAGCAGAGATGATGGCTGCTCCCTTTCGCACCCCTCGAACCGTTCCCCCCTCTCTGCCGCGTGAGCTGCCGCCTGCGTGCGCGCGGATGTCCCGCGGCCTTTTCAGTTCAGCTTGTAATGCTAGCTGGCGGGCCTGCGCTCGATTCTCCAGCTTGCTCACACTCGCCACGCGTTTCCAGATGACGCGATGTCAGGAAAACAATGGACAGATCGGTGACATCGGAGAGCCCCGTCGCAAGCTGAACTCTTTTTAGCAACGGCATAATATTAGCTACTCCCTCTTCTCGGACTCTCAGCGTGAAGGCGGGGCGGGTGCTGTTGTTGGTCCTACTCCTACTCGCCTCTTCCACGCTATCCAGCAAGTTGAAGTGCTTCCTGGCCGCATCCTTGCACTCGATTGAACGGTCCGTCTGGCTTTCCCTTCGTCTGCAATCTGGTGGTCTCCTCGGCGCCAGCGACGCACTCGCCATGCATGCCCGTGCTCTACATGTTGCTCGGCAAGCCCATCTTGTGAATTCTGGCAGTCATCGCATTCAATCTGGGGGCTTCTATCTCGCTCTCGAGGACGAAGGACGTGTGCGCGGGGGCGGTGCAGAGTGGTCTCCTGGGGATCGAGCTCACACTCGTCTCTGCCAGTGTCTGTTTCCAAATTGTATCGAGTTCCAGGGACAAGACGCATGGCGCGAAGTGCGCGATGGGGCAAACTCCCACGCAGCTCGCTTAGACCGCGCTTGCGCGTCCCTGCTGCAAAATCTCCCCCCTCGATTCCTGCCCCCTGCGCTCTGCGCCCGAAATTGCCAAGTGACCACGACCGCCTCTACTTCTCGATCTTGCCACGCAATCCCAATAATTCAAATCCCTTTCTTCCGAAGTGGATTGCAAGTCGGGGCGGTTTCACGGAGTTCGTGAATGCCGCGACCTTGGAAACCCCAGTGGCCTCTTCTGCCCTGCAGTCATTCCGAGGCTGGTGGCTATGTCTTGAGTGGGCGATTGCTCACGCACTGCGATGGTTGCCAGTACTGTGGCAGCATTTTAACATGGTCACCCTGCGCCGCGAGAATACGTCTGGCCTTCACTCGCTGGCGCTCTCGTTGCAGATGCAATTATTGGACCAGGAAGAACGCGAGGTTGAACTGTCCGAGCCCCCCCCCCTGAGATCAATCGTGACCAGAAGGAGCGCATCCGGAGTATTCGGGGGCTCTCGGCGACGTTTTCGCAGCCGTGTTCGTCTTGCTTGCATCTACGACAGTCTGGGCCATCCCCGCGTTTCTTCCGACCACTCTGCCGATGCGCCGAAGCAGCGCCGGTCTGGGCCCCCAACCTTGTCCTGGATTCGCCCTTCTGGGCTGAGATCGACCCGCTCATCCAACTAGCCCCACGGACTGCGCCTCTTTCCTGGCTGCCGTTTCACGAGGAACGTCGCGCGCATGTCCGCGGTCGTGCTCGCAGCGTGCTTGGAGAAGACGGCGCGCCGTGCAGCGCATGGAAGGATGGTCTCCAACGCGTGCGGGTGCTCCGCGATGTGCGCCTCCTGTTCTTCTCTGAGGATGTCTCGGGGCTCGGAGCTTCCGCTTGCCGTGCTCGGGGGCCCATGGTCGTCTTGCCGAAGGGGCCGGGGGGGGGGCGGGCGCGTCGTCGTCGGCTGCCTGGGGCCCGCAAGATACTCGAGCACTCAGTACGTCTAGCGCGGATACTAAGACCTTCGCAGGTGCGATGGCGATTCCAATCTCTTTGAACGTTGCTTCCAGCGCGCCACCGGTGAGTGCGCCAAAGGGAAAGTGAGCCTGTCTTTTCCTGGTGGGTTTCTGCGATGCTTCCCCGTCGCTGGCGACTCTGCGGCTGGTGCGTGTCTCTCGCGCGAGCACTTCTCTGCGCGTCGCCCGCTTGCTCTCCGTCCTCTACCGCGAGGATCTCTACCGCGAGGATCTTATCATCGTTTTCCACGGCGGCCGCAGGTGCGGCGAATTTCGGATGCTCGGTAGTGCAAGGCAGGGTGTCCGAGCAGCGCGCAGTTTGTTGTTAACGCTGATCCGTCGCTGCGCTGGCCGATGCGCGAGCGCCCCCCCGCCGCGTAGATACGACGTTCGCTTTGCGCGGATGATTTCTGATTTGGGCTGTGTGACAGTCTGGTTTCGCTGCCCCCCTTGCATGCCGCGCTTGAACGCTTCGAACACAGTGCTGATCTCCGTCTCAGCTTCAAGAAATGCCAACTCTACGTCGTAGGTTCCATGGGCGCGCAGTCGCTCGAGGACGCGATCGATCTTTTGAGAGGCAGGACGAAGATGATTCAAGTTATACTCGTTGCGAAGTATCTGGGGGTATAGACTGGCTGCGTGGCGGCCCTTTTGGCTCGGCGAGAAGCACTGCCGAAGTTTCGCCGACGCGCAATGCTAACGCGTTCCTTGGGCCTCGGTCTCACTGGGTCATTCTCGCCTCCAAGGTCGTGCTGGCATCTGTCCCCTCATCCATTCTGCACTTGCACCCCGTCAGTCTGCACCCCGTTCATGTGTATCTTGAAACCGTCATGCACCTCACTGCCGGCTCTCCGAATTCGATCTCATGCGACTTCTGCGTGCAGCTCGCGGACGCGCACTTGCCGCTCTCGTCCCCTGACATCTACGCGCGCGCCGCAGCCGCCTGTCTGCGGCGCGTGAGTAGGAACCCGTGTGATGGTGATGTCTTCTTTCGCTTAGATAAGCTGCCGGAGTATTGGGGGTGCATCGTGATGAACGCTGTCTCTGGGTGGTGCACAGATTCGCTGTCGTTGGTCATGCGAAGATTTGATGACTGGCATCATTATATTCCTTGGGGCTTCGCTGGCGAATCCAAGAAACATCAGGCTCAGATGCATCGCCTGGCCTGGTATTCCTCGGCCCTCGGGAAGGCCCCCGTTAGGGTGCGCCTCAGGCGCGCCCGTAGTTGGTCCCACGTGGCTTCCAATAATATTTGTGAAGTGTGCGGGGTGAACTCGTGCGTAGTCATTTTTAAGACCCAGCCGTTTTTTTAATGGCGCTTCTCAGACTCATTACTCGCGGTGCGAGCGCGTCTTCTCGCTTTCATGCATGTGTTCGCGGGCGTACCTTCGGCTGTCTGTCCGAGAGCGGAATCGTCTTTGACTCTGTCATTCGCTACTCGACATGCTCCCGTCTTTGTCGTTCATTCTCCCATTGGCTTGGATGCCGCCTACAATCGTCTACTTCCCTTCATGAGGCTGTTCTTTGGATCCCCGATATCCTCTGTCTGGCACCATCATCACTGTCTGTGAAGATTGTGCACGTTGCTTGCCTCGATGCATTCTTGGCTCTTCATTCCGCCCGTCGGCGGGGGGCCCCAGGCACGCCCGAGCAACGCTATCAAATCAGTTTACGGATAACAGTTCGTCGCCACAGGTAAGTGGCCAGAGCCTGGCGCTTCCAGGGAGCCGTGCAGTTCTCTCCTCCTTCCCCCTCCTCTTTCGTGACTTTCGGCCCGGGGCAGGAGGCTGCCCGCGCTCGCTGGAACGCGCGGTCCCGCGGACGCGGGTCGACCCTCCAGTTTTGTCGTGGATTTCTTCCAAACAGAGAGGCGCGAGCTGAGCGTGCCATCGGCGGGGATTCCCGGGGTGTGCGGGCGGCTTGACAGCGGGGGCGTGTTGTGCAGTAGAGACTTGGCGACCTGGGTGCAACCGGAGTCGCGGTACGATTGCCTCCCCGTTGCAGCAGGGGCCGCGGCATTAAGGCAGCCATCCAGACAAAGCCAGGGCAATCAAATTCCGGCCTGTTCTGGTCGACCCTCCAGTTTTTCTTAGAGTTCTTACCGACAGAGGGGTGCGATCTGAGCTCGACGCCAGCGGGGATTCATCCTGAATCCCGCGCGCCCCCTGGATCATTCAGGGGGCGCGCGGGCGTCTTGACAGCGGGCGCGCGCGGATCAGTAGAGACTTGATGATTTGGGCGCGCCCGGAGTCGCGGTGCGATCGCCTCCCTGTTACAACAGAGACGGTTCATGCAAGCAAGCCATCCAGACAAACTTGGGTAAACAAAAAGCTATGTTCTGTTCAGTAAGGCCAGGGTGTTTTCTTTGTGCAGTTTCTAACTCGGTGCCTTGGAGACTAGTTTATTAAATCGCTTTGCGGTCCCATAAAGAAAACTTGCACGCTAAGCAGCCGTTCGTTTGTTTGGCGTGTTCAGCTGCGATTCTTGTTTTCAGGTCAATGGGTTGGTTGCATTGTGAACATTTACATATACGATGCCCTCAGTTCTTTCTCCTAGCGTGCACTTTTTCTCCTGGCGTGCAGTCTGGCGGGCCCGATGGCCGATTGCCCCCTCCACCCTCCTGGGGCCATCGAGCTTCCGAGCCTGCTTCGGGCTGGTGTTAGACCGGCGATAGGGCGTTGTTTTAAGTTTTAAGCTTTGGGAAGGATAGCGGCGGCAGGAACGAACGGAAGCGAAGAAAGCAGGGAAGACAAGGAGCAGTCTTCGGCCAGAAATCAGAACATGCCAAACAAATTTTGATATACAGCGACGGCCCTAAACACGTGGAACAAACATTGAGCTAAAACGCAAGTGCATTTCAAGCAAGAGGGCGTTTTCAAAAAGAATCAAGCACGCCAAAACACGTCAACAAAAAGGTGGCGGCTTCCGAAACACCTGGCGCGATGCCCAATGCGGCTGCTGGCGGTGGTTTCAAACGGCCCCGCCCGCCACCCGTTCGCCCTGAAAGGATCAGGGGCAACGTCAGGTGTCAGGGGGGATGGATCCAGGGGGGCATGCGTCAACCCCCGACTGCATGTGAGTTCAAGCAGGCACCTTGGGCACCTTCCTTCGGGTTGTGTCGTCCAGGTGTTTTGCCCAGGGAAACGAAGGGAGCGGGGCCGCCGGCGGACGCAGGCGTAGGTAAAATATCAGTTTTCTAAGAGATGCCATGTTTGTTGGCTTGTTCGGGTTCGGCACGTGCTTCCGGAACAAAGTGCTTCGGTAGTGGGGATGCGTTGGGAACCATCCCTCCCCCCATCATCCATAGGAGCAATCGATCATTACTTTACTCCCGCGCGCCCCAGTCTGGCGAATCGCGATGGCAGGGAAGGTGAGCGTCGCTGTCTTGGTGGGCCTCGCCCGCCAGACGACGGCCCTATCACTCAGCTTGGAGAGTAACGATACTGCCCTTACCCTGGAGGAAGAGGGCTTTGTCAGCGCTTGGCGTGGTATCCCATTGGATTCAATTGATCCGTCCAAGTATCCGCAGTTCATCCAGTGGCTTGACCAGGGGATGGACGACCCTAGCGGCGCCAGAACGGAAGAGTCTGTCTTGGCGCAGGCGAAGCAGGATGCGAAGGGGAACACAGGCGCCGCACATTTCGCTGACCTCCATTCATACATGGACAAGTGCCAGGCATCTGATCCGGAAGTGGTGGAGATCCCCACATGGATGGGCCGGATGGGCAACCGCGTCTGGCAGGTTCTCAATGCCGTACGTATCGCAGAAGCGACTGGGAGGAAGTTCGTGAAGCTCCCAAAAGCTGGTGGTGGCCTTGACCATCACTTGTTTAACAGCCCGAAGAACCAGCTCATCGAAATCATTCCCCCGAAATCACCGGAGACCTGCGACTTCGTGCCCGTATCTGGCAAGATGTACGCCTGGCACCACGACTGCCGGTTCCTCTTCTTCAACCGCTGCCGAACCACCATCACGGAGCGCCATGCGGCCTATCAGAAATACGTTTTGCCGCTGCTGAGCAGCGAGGTCCGGGACAAATGTGAGCCTGGCGCGGACGATGAGATCACCGTCCACATCAGGAACGGCGACGTGGCCCTGCACGACGACCTCAACCCGGAAATGCGGCCAGAGCACAGGCAGCCGCCATGTGCCTATTTCCACAAGGTCATCGAGACGGGCTACAAGGGAGGCCCTCGGGGAGTCTCGCCTCAATGCGTCCTCCCGAGGCCTCGACCCATATCACATATCCCAGGACCCGCGCTGCAGCCTGAGTCTTTCTCTGCCGGCCCCACGGCCAGGTAAGGGCCCCCGGAAGCCAGAACTGGCCAGAAACTTTCCGTCGTCATGTTTACCGCCCCTTTCGCCTTTCCATCGCCCGCTCGTTCCTTTCCTCGCCCATCCTTCCTCCCCCTCTCCAGTCTCGCCCTCCACGACGCTGGAGGGGGGAGGTGAAGGAACTGGACCAGCGTCCGTGAAGAGGCACCCCGCAGGCCCGTTCAAGAGGGTCCAGCTGGTGTACTCCACCGAGGAGCCGGCCAGCCCATGCATCGAAGACATTCTGGCGAAGCACAAGGACAAGGTTCCGAGGCAGAGAATGAAACGTGTCCACCGCCCGGGGAGCGAGCTTCCAGGACAGCTGGAGGCACCTGAGGTCGCGACGGCGCGCGAAGATTGTAACATCATGGGGAGTAAAATCTGGAGCCTCACACTTCATCTTTCTGCGGCAGTTCTCGAGCCGCATCGATCTGTGATGGCCCCCGGGCCCGAAGCCAGGCGAAACCGCCCGGCTTGAGACAGTTGCGACGCCAAGATCTCAGGGGCGGTGGGCTCTCATCTGTTTGTAAACGATAGGTATAGGTGGGTGTATACGTATATGCGTATTCAGATGCATGCTCACGTGACAATGCTTACATGTAGATGTATCTGTATGTATATGCACATACATCAGGTTGTATGTATGTATCTATATATACACCTACATTATATGCATGTCCGCATGCACGCATGTCAGTATGTTTGTATGTATGGATGTACGGGTGTGTGCGCGTATGTATGTATGCACGTATACATGTATGTATGTACGTACGTACGTACGTATGTATGTATGTACACATGTATGCATTAATGCATGCATGCATGCATGTGTGTATGTATGTGTGTATGTATGTGTGTCTGTATGTATTTTCTGAGCGGCCCTGGTCCGTGCCCTCTCCCTTCGGCAGTCGCCCCTTCTCTCGCCTGGTGGCACAATTCGCTCAACGTCTGCCCCGTTTCGCTCCTTTCGCCAGCGCAGTGACTCTGCCTAGCCGCCGATGGACAAGTGTATGTATGTAGGTAGGTAGGTAGGCAGGCAGGCAGATAGGTAGGCATGTAGATATGCATGCATGTATGTATGACTTCATGTATGTATGCATGCATGCATGTATGTGTGTGTGTGACTGTGCACGCATGCACATGTATGTATGTATGTATGTATGTATGTATGTATGTATGTATGTATGTATGTATGTATGTATGTATGTATATATGCATGCTTGTATGTATGTATGTATGTCTGTATGTATGTATGTGTGTATGTATGTATGTATGTATGTATGTATGTATGTATGTATGTATGTATGTATGTATGTATGTATGTATGTACGCATGCATGCATGCATGCATGTATGTATGTATGCATGTATGTATGTATGTATGTATGTATGTATGCTTGCGTGCGTGCATGCATGCATGCATGCATGCATGTATGTATGTATGCATGCATGCATGTATGCATGCATACATATATGTGTATATATATATGCATGTGATTATGCATGTATGTATGTGTGTATGTATGTCTGTATGCATGTACGTATGTACGGACGTGCGTATGTATGTATGCAAGGATGTGTTGATTGATGCACGTGTGTATGCACATGTATATGTATGTGTGCACAAACGCATATGTATGCATGCATGCATGCATGCATGTATGTGTGTATGTCTGTATGGATCGATGGGTGGGTGGATGTATGTATGTTTGTATGTCTGTCTGTATGTATGTATGCGTGTGTTTACGTTTATGCGTGCATACACACTTACATACATCTGTTTGGGCCCCCTCGGGCTTAAGTTTTCGGGCGATCCATAAAGGGCCTTATCTTCAGTGCACCCTCGCCCTCGGATGGATCCGCCGGAAAGGCCCGATCCAGCGGAGGTAAATCCGGAGGAAGGTCGGCGGAAGACGGCAGGAGTAAACCAGAGGCATTGTGTTGGATTCGGGCGGTCCAGAGCCAGCCAACCCCCCACCGCCCGGTGAGCGGAACTGCCCTGGACCTCGAGGGGCGGTGACCGCGGACATATCTGGGCCCCAATGGGGCCCATATGAGGCGATCCAGAAGGGGCCCCCCGCCTTCAGCGCAAGCCCTCGCCCTCGGCGGAAGCGCTCGCCTCTTGCGCACCCTCGCCCTCGGCGGGGACCCCGTGGAAGGCCCGCGGGGGCCGGCGGGAGCAGAACGGGGGCGGCTCTGCCGGCAGGAGGCTGGCGGAAGGTCGGCGGAAGCCCACGGGAGCAAAAACTTGCGCCACAGAAGTTTTCGGCTAGACGTGAGAGTGACCTTTCACGGAGTGACCTTTGGTGCGGGCACAGATGGGTCCCCAGATGGTTGAATGCGAAGCGGTAGCAGCGGCTTGCGCGCCCAGGGTTGGCCACCCCGCGTCCCCCGTTAAGCCGCGCATCAAAGGTCACTCTTGCCTAGGGCCAGTCTTGCGTGTAGCCGACGTTTTTTTATTAATCGCTTCGCTCATTCCGCTGTTCGCTCATTTCGCCGGCCCATATTGCCTCGCCGCTTGGGGGCCGTGTTGGGGCCTCTGGGAGGCAGTTTGAGGTCTCTTGGGGTGGGGCCTCTTGGGGCATCTTGGGGGCCTCTTGGGGCTTCTTGGGGTGCCTCGTGGGGGCCCCTTTGGGCCTCTTGGGGGCCTCTTGGGGGCCTCTTGGGGGCCTCTTGGGTCCTCCTGGGGGACTCTTGGGGCTGAAGGCGCTGGACTTTTCGGATCTTGGGGGCCTCTTGGGCCGTCTTCGAGCGATGGAAAGCCGACTAGGCGAGAAGGACAACATCTGTCAAAAACTTCCGTAAACTTGACATTGTGGCCTCTCGGGGCCCTCTTGGGGCTCTCTTGGGAGGCCTCTTGGTGGCCTCTCGGGGGGTCTTGTACCCGTCGTGGGCCGTCTGGAAGCCATCGTGGGTGTCTCGGACCGATCGTTCGACGACTCGGAGCCCTCTTGGACCGTCTTGGGGGCCTCTTGGGCTTGAGAGGCCGCACCCAGGAGGAAAACAATCTCTGAGTAAAGAGTTGCCGGGGATCGGCCAGGGTACCTTTCATCTGGGGACCCCCAGGGGCGGCCCCGCGCGCGCGAACTAGAAAACTTCTAAACTAGTTACTGGAGATCTTAGCACGCCTCTGGCCCGTTGGGCTGGCGAATTCAGGGTGTTCGGAGCGCGGAACCAGCCAACAGATCCATCGCCTGAGGTCCCGATCTTCCTGGGCCTCGGAAGACGGCGGATGCGGATATACTCGAGCCCCCTTGGGGCCCAAACTGTCCTTTCCGCAAACGTTCGAAAGACACATTCAACTTCTGGGTGCCCGCGCGGATGTCCTGGGTCGACGCTGGGGCCTCCTTGCACCTCGAGGCGGCACTTCTGGCGCCGCCCCTGGCGCGCTCCACGCGTCGGGGAAGGGTCGTTGGAGGTGGGTCAGGCGCTACCTCCGAAAGCTCAAGCTTATGGTAGTTGTTATCATACAGGTGGTTCTCAAGCCGTCGTCCAGCCTGGCTGGCGACGTGTGCCATATATTGGAGACCAAGAACCTCGCAACCACGATGAGTTCTTTTGCCACCGTGCTCAAGATGATGAACCATGGGCTGCAGCGACTTTTCTTCGTCAACATGTTGTCCGAGAAGATCATGACGAAGGAGCAGTACGACATCCAGATGGACTACTACGAGTTCAGGGTGGACCAGCTGTGCCAAGTATTCCCCGAAGTCACAAGCTACCAGGTGCCCGACCTGTACTTGAACGAGAACTTCTTCTTGAGGTTCCCAGAAGAGAACTTCGTTGTCGATACCTGCAAGAACCACCCAAGAAGCAGCGCGGGCACCACAGGCGCGGCCAAGAAGAACATCTTCCGGCGCATGTTCCGGTGAGTCGCGGGTGAGGGGTTTAGCCAGCGTCCGATTTCTTTGGCTAGCTTCTTGCCTCTGAGGACGCACCAACTCGTGCCTTAGGGCGCCATGGCGGTTATTAATACGTGTGTAGTAGATGTGTGTGTGCGTGTTGAGACAAGTATGTGTCCCGCGTTCATGTATCGGGCGGCCCACATGCAAAACCATTGCGTTGTTCTTGTGAAGTTCGGCTGGCGAGCACCAGTCAAAACTAAAAGACCAATGTTTTATCGTCTTCTTGATGCAGATCATATGTTCATGAAGTTATATGTTGTTTGCGGCGGTAATTTGCAATGCCAGCGATGGTTAAACGTCGGCGGTGTCGATGACATCAATGGATCATGACAACGATGACGATAATGGTGATGGCGACCGCGACGATGAAGAGGATGGTGGTGATGATGACCCAGATTCTCCCCGCGCATACACTCGCAGCCGATCTTGAGTTAGCCCCGCTCCATCATTCCTCTCTTCTACCGCTGCCCCTCTTCTCGCATTTTCCCTTGGTGCCCCCTCCTGCTCCTCCTCCTCCCTCCGCCTCCTCCTCCTCCTCCTCCTCCTCCTCACTCCTCATCCTCCTCCTCCGCCTCCTCCTCCTCCTTCTCCTCTTCCTCCTTTTGCAGACAGTCACCCTCTTCCCCCGGCCTCCTCCTCCTCCTCCTTCTCCTCCTCGCCTCCTTCTCCTCTTCCTCCTCCT